TCAATAATAAATCTTTTCAATAAATCAAAACCAGAACCTCTTTGTTGAAGACATTTCATGTATTACATTAATTAACACAAAGGGTTTTCTTACTTCCACAAATATTTTTCACATTTAAGCAAAAGAAAAAAAACTCATCTACAAATGCATATTATAAATATTTATAATCATATCCCATTCAGACCGCAGCTATACATTTTTATGCAGGATAAAAACCAACAGCAAACTGAAATGCAGAAAAAACTGAAAACTAAAATTCAGGCAAATAAAATCTACATATTATCAAAAACCATTTTAGCAGGAATTTTGTAGAGGCAAAAAAATGCAGAAACAGAGACGGCAAAAAGTACAATTCCAATTGTATTTTAGCTCAAAAAAAGTTTTTGCCAAATGCAAATGGAAATGCAACGAAAAAAGAGGGAGAAAGAATTATTCCGATATCAATTGCAAACAAAATGATAAAATTAGGCAAATGGAAGAGCAAACAGCATTAGCTTTGACATCGATTTCACCACAGAAATGGTACAGAAAAAAACAAATTGAGAATTGTAATGCAATACTCATGTTTCAAATCGAATTTAAAATTAATTTTTCTGTTCAATTAATTACAATATTCACGGCAAATACTCAGTTGAAAATCAAGGGAATAGATGTGGGATGGTTTTGTGTTGAAATTCAGTTCAATATCAGTTCAATAATGTTTGGTGCGATATTTTAATCTAAAACATATTTTCTTTTGCTCTTTTTTTAGATGTGACATTCTGGACGATATAGTTGTTGTAGAAAACGAAATTGCGCAGACTGGTTGAAGGATGGTATTTCTTGTGACATTTTGTATGATGCTGTGTGCTATTTTTTCATGAATAGGTGAGTAAATTTTGTTTTGTGTCTGTGGGAAATATTTAATAAACCTATAAGTGTACATGTCACGGAGTCTAGACTAACAAAATAAGTATGTGATCATGGCACATCTTAATGAGAGACTCCTAGTACCGAGAAATAACATGGAAATATCTTATAAAATTAAAAAAAAAAGATTCTAGAAGAATTACCATAGAAATGCTAGAAATGCTAAAAGTTCTCGTTCAACTGTATTCTATAGACTCGTATTTTTCGAGATACAAATAAAATGATTTCCCAGTTTTTCTTTGAGTATTTTTATATTTAACATATAAAGTACGCCAAAATAAGCCAGTTTTTTCTGCAACAAATTTTCTCTCATTAAAATACGGCCCAATAAAACCCGACAGCAAAAAACATCTTAACTCTTAACTTCTTTCAATAATCTGTTGCAATAGTGCGAGAATAAAAACAAAGTTTGTTCCTTCTCGCCTCTCCATTCCCCCACAACTACTAGTATGAGCAGCAGATCCCTGTTAATCCTTCTCCTGACAACAAAACACTTAAATCTCTACTCTACCAAACTTAAGCTTCAACAATCTGTCACAAAGAGGTCCCTCTCAACCTCACTCTATCACCCCCAACGCCCTATCATCTCGCACGCGTGTATGTGTGCCGGATAAATCGTAAAAAATACGAAAGGGATACAATACAAAATGAGAAAGAGAACAACACTGAAATTTTGTGCGTAGTCAACGCAACAAGCAAATGCACTCAAAATGGAATCTATAAAAAGTTCCAACAACAAAACGTGTCCCACTGATAAAACATTTGCCAAACATTGCAACTTTCCTTTCACATTTTTTTATGATCTAAGAGTAAAAATACAGGGGTGAAAAAGGTATTCATAAAATCCAGGAATAAGTGATAGTTGCAGAGAGCTATGCTTGAATGCTCTTAAAAGTGTATTTTTATGTTGAAAAATTATGATTTTTTGTTTATATTTCATTAATTTACATCGTTTAACAAAATGTTCACTAACTTTGGAAAAATTATGAAGTTTGATTGAATTATCATTCAAAATGAGTAAGTTGTCCGATAAATACTTATGCTAGAATCGTTTCAGATTCGGATCAGATTACTATTAATATTAATATTACGATTAATATTACTGAAAAAAATAACACAAAAATACCGGATAAAATATTAAGAAAAATAGAACAAATTTCTTCAAGATAGTAGAATAATTACCAGAAACATAGATGAAAATTTCCATAAAAAGTCTACAAAACGTAGCAGAAAATACAAAAAAACTACCAGAAATAAATACTGCCAAAAACACAGAAACGAAAACTAGAAGAATTTTCCAAAAAATCCCTGTAAAGTCATATGAACCCCTTTCACGATCAGGGTATAACAAGAGGACTCTATGGACACTGTAGGACAGCAACATCAGCAGCAGCAGGGACATCAACGGCATCAGTAGAAGGGACGAGAGAGAGAGAGAGAGAGTCCTTGCACAAACATGCAGGGACATGCTGGAGGAGCAGGCACGTAGCCTGTTTGCTATTTGGTGTTGCATACTTTTACGCGTCTCTTTTGTATTAATTTGCAAAGGTAACCCGCATTCAGTAGAAAAAGAGACAGCAGAGACACCAGACACCAGCGTGAGAAAGGACTTCCACACTCCCCACAGTGCTTCTCATTATGCATGCTTGTCCGCACGTATACCCGTACGTCCTGCTACGTCCTGCTGCTGTTGTTGCTGGTGCTGTTGCTCCTTCATCCTGGGGCAACTCTTTTGAGATGCCCCACGCACAAAATCCCTCTCCCACATCGAATGGGGATACAGGAGAGTTTTCTGTTCAGTTTTCTGTGTGCTAACTTTTACCAATTTCATTTTCAATTGACTGTCGACCAGAGCACGCAGCCGGGCCTGGCTAACCACCAGCAATTGAGCGTATGAAATGCCAGAAAGGACCAGAAGCATCCTGCATCCTGGGCCCCTTACAAAAAAACTTTCAACACACATACAGAGAGATCAAGAGAGATACAAAAGCAGGCTGGCAGCAAAGTTTCTTTCTGGAGAGGGAGAATCCTTTTCTTTCATTTCAATTTCGTTAGCAGTTTTTCTTGTACGAGTATTATGCTACTTATTTTATTTCAAGCGTAAAGGACGTGTCTTGCATATGTGTTTGTGTGTGTGTGTGTTCTCAATCTATGGGTATCCCCTCCTCACCATATTACATATCCTTTTTCCTTAAGAAAGTTTTCCTGCGATATTACGCCACGCACAATTCATTTGCAAATAGAGGAACAGTTTAATTTGTTGCCTTTGTGTGTGCTGTGGGATTGTATGACAAGGACATGCCTGCTGTCCGGTTCATAGTTATATGAAAAGGACCCGCATTCGATTCAACAGAGAGACACACACACACAAAGGCAGACACTCATACGCTGGGAAATGAATTCCGAAAAAGGCTTCTTCTTTATGGGGAAATATTGCATTAAACAAGAGGCTGGGGCCTGGGCCAGTTCGATTTTAAGGGATTTCCCACGCCACGCCCTTGTGACCCAAAAGGGCAGTAATTAAGCTTCAATTTCATTCCCCATTCTCGCAGAGACAGATAGATCCCCTTTTTAGAAGTGACGACTGCAGGATCTTCCCTTCTGAGTGAAAGACAAATATCTGTAGAGCACTGTTTGCATCGCATTCCATGTAATTTTCCACATAGTTTTGCCCCAAACGAATGTCTAGACACTTGGAAAGCTTTCTCAATCTTGCATTGGCACGTAGATTGATAATCGAGTAAAGAGGGACAACAAACACACAGGAAAGAAGAAAAAATACAGACACACACACAAAAAGGGACGCCATGTGAAGTGTTCCTTATAGAAGTTGTTGACCGGATTTGACAGGCAGGCACAAACTGACAAATGAACAGGGAAGATGGAAGGATGGGCAGGGCATGCTTGTATGCTGAGAAAATTGTAATGTTGACCGTCGATAGCAGAGAGATAGAGAGACGAAACCCACATGTTACGGTTTTGAGCCACAAATTATGGCTGTTCAAATTACTGAAATGGGTCGCTGCTGTCTTCCATTCAAGAGATTTTAAATTTGTCAAACAGACAAATTCCAACTTGAGTAGACTTCCAATTTGAAGTCAGTGCAGAGAGCAAACCATTTCCATATTCGAAATTTTACTCAATTAAATCATGATTGAAATACTTCTCGTATGGTAAAATTTTTATAAATTTTAAAAAACTCCGATCCGAAAAGATGAAGTGCTAGTTTGTTTAGTATGGGGGGGAAAGGGGACCACAGCGGCGAAATGGAGATCGGCCGCTGCACTTGAAAAGGAATTTGTTGTTGTTCTGCTTCGGAGAGATGATTGTCCGTGAAGTGTAGAGTAAAGTCCGTTGGTTTGTTTTTGAATAATCGTTTGTTGGTTCGAGATGTCCGAACAGTTGGTTTGTTGTGCGACCTGGGGGCCTGGGAAGAACCCAGCCCTGAAAGGACTGGCTAGCCGGCCTTGCCCCAACACCAATACAGGTTCGTAACAATAACGGCATAGATTGTTAACACAATAAGGATAAGATGGCAGCTGTAATCAAATAATTCATCTGAAATTGAGTTTTTATACGAATTTCATAGTCTATCTAGATAAACCCCTTAGCGCGTTTTTTGTGACAATTTCCGCACATATTTTAAGTTATATTCATTGAAATACATAAATCATTATGTTGTATGCAAACTGTAGTTATTGTCCATTATAATTTAGGGTTCCGTTTCTGTTGTAGAACATTTTTAAGAATACAATTTTAAAAAAATGTGAATGTGCACATTTAAGGCATTGTTTTTTATACATAGGCTATAAACATTTATGAGCATTTATTTCACTTAAATTCAGTCTAAATCGCCTAATAGCTTTTCTGGCATTTGATTGGATAGACTTTTAAACGAGGAGTCATACAAAATAAATTGTTAGGTTATAATAATAAATATTATTATTGTGGTACGAGAGCTCCATACTCTTCGACGAATTAAGGTTAAAATTTAGTTAGATTACTGCATATCTCTGATTTTTAATTGTTGTTTTTCAAGAGTTCTTTGAATATTCAATCAAGTATAAACTTTAATTAGAACTTTTACTCACGTTTTGAAACATCTCCATAATGGGGCTTCTTATGCGCTTCTCTCTTGCTTGCACAACAGTTTATGGTTTAATGACATCGGCTATAAAGAATAAATAAAAGATATATGTGTTATTTAAGTATATAAATATTTTGGTGTTATAAATATATAAAATTTATAAATATTCTTTATGCTTTATCTTTACAGTTCTCCACCCCTCCACAAAACGATGAAACGATGATACGACCAATGATGTGTGGCCTATCAAAAAATTGTGATGATATAAAATACTGCCATAAATAAACCATTTTTTGTAAAAAGAAAAAAATAAAATAAAATTTATGTATAGTCTATAAAAAACATCGAAGTCGTGTGTTTTTTAATAGGAAATGTGGGCAGGGAGCGGGAGCGGGACCTGGACCAAGGTATACACCATTTAGGATGCAGAAAATGATTGTTATTATATGCCTCTTATTATTATGATTATTATTGTTATCAAAGCCCACAATATCGCGAGCCAAAAAGTCAAAGCCGACCAAAGCAAAAGCTTAAGGAACGTGCCCCGCATAAGGAGCTTCCTGATGCCTTCTCCCATGCTGGGATCTCCAACAATTTATGTATTGTTTGTTTATTTGCTTATGCAGTGCTTTGGCTCCCTTCTCCGCTTTCCTTCAAAAATTTCTTTCACCTTTCCGCATCCACATGTGGGGCCATCACACCACACCACACAGGACTTTATTTTCTTTAGCTTTTTGGAGCAGTTGCTCATGCAAATTTATACACCTTCACCGACTGCCATCATAAATATCTACACCCCGAAAATATATCTCGTTTCAGCGCCGCTGTCGTCTGTTTCTCTGCCTTGTCGCCTTGTCACGTGTCGGCATCATTACCGCACGTACCAGAATTATTTATACAAGAAAGTATATATCGTTTATAAGGCCAGGCAAGTCTAGTGCCAAGAAGAGAGAAAAGAAAAAGGAATAAACTGTCGGGGAAGAACACTCGAATTTTGGTTATTCTTGAGCGATGTTTGGAGGCAGAAAAAACTTTGTCTGTTTTTCCCCTAGCAATTCTTTGCCACCTTCTAAAACTGCAAAGACTTTGCACCTCTATAAATGGAAACCCAAAAATGTCCCCTTTTTAATACACTTGAATGCCCGAAAATTCTTCACAGTGTATAAAGTGCCTCGAGAGATAGCAGAGAGTAATGGAGGATGGACAAAAATTTAAATCACCCGAAAATGTGTGGCATGAGCGGTGCTAATTGTTCAATATTTGTGGGGCAAAAGGCAGCTGCCATGGCCCTTGGGCACATGTGTGTGGGTGGGAATTTACGACACATATGGACCGGCCCGGTTTGCCTTAAACCAGGCAACAAAACATGCCAAGCATGTAGTTCCGCCCTCCGACTGAGCAGAGAGGCTCAACCCAGGGACCCAACACTATGGATATCTCACTCACTCTAGGCCCCCATCCAAGCGTCACAGTTAATTTGTTGACAGCTCTGTTTCTGCAGAGAGAAAGAGATAGAATGAGAGAGATAGAGAGAGAGAGAGAGAGAGAGAGAGAGAGAAAGGTAGGGGCTGGCAGTTTCAGAGGCCTCATGATATGGCTACAGGACAAATGTCCAGCTGTAGGTCCATGGGGACTACAAGACGGGCATTCGTGTAAAGTGTGCAAATGACCAAAGAGAAAAGCCTGAGAAATATTCCAGCACACAAAATTGTAATTAGTTGGAACAGAGGAGGCAGAAGGCGATGCCAAAGGATATTCGACAGACAGTTGGACAAGCGAAATGTTTGCTTGAAAGGGGAAGCAGTGTCCTTTAGTTTGATTGCATATTTGAAAGTTCGATAATGAATGATATTTGTATTGGTTTATAAAGCTTTTTAAATGGAGAAGAGTTCCAAGTTTATTCGGTAAAAAAAACTAAAGTAAATTCCCTGAAAACTTAACAATTCTCTTCTAAATTACTAAACTCTTTATGTTCCTTTTCTTCCACACAAAAACTGGAAACGTATTCTTTAAAAAACATAATCAAAATGAAACCTTATATGATCTACGGGACCACCTAACAAGCACCTCATTATAAGCACACTAAACAAATCCACCTAGAAAACGCACCCACAATTCTGGTCTTTTATCTTTTTCTAAAGTCCTTTTGTTGTCCTGTCAACTGTTCTGAACGTTAATGTGTGTGGGGCACCCCCTGCAACGGCTGACAATCAAAAGAAAAGCCACATAGTACTATAATAACTTACACAAAAAAAGAACACATTTATGGAGAAAAATAAAAGAAGTTTTCAATATTTCTCTGATTTGATTATGGGGAAACCCTAGGAGTGGGTATGATATTATTTTTCCAATTCTTATAAATACATTTTCGAGTGCAATCCTCAATTGGTGTCCTCCTCCAACGATTTTCCTTTTTTTCATTCCTTTCTTCTGCACTCTCTCTCTGTCTCTGTGTGTGATGTCAAATTTCAACCATCAATGTCGTCATCCCTCAACTAATTGGGTTTTCGTTTTCGGGATCTTTCGTCAACAGTGGAAATATATAGATGTATGTGTATATAATATTCGGCGTATATTTGAGGAGGGGTCGTGACACAAGGAAGTGGAAAATGGAATGCCAGAGCAGGTGGAGAAAAAGATTAAATTTCCTCGTTACGACAGGAAAATTCGGGAAAAAAAAGTGAAAATAAATATTGAATTATTGATATACAATATCCTTAAAAATGGATAGAGAGAGCCAGCCCTGTGACATTCCTTTTAGAGGGTGCGTTATTTCATAAATTTATAACAAAAATATGTAAGTACATATCAAAGGGTTCTTCTGCTTGTGTTTGCCTCACTCTCATTTTAAGTGCAGCTGACAAAAGGCGTTGATGTATTAAAAGCAGGAATCTCTTGACTTTGAAATGCGTGGAATGCCGAATATTTTGTCCAAATGTTCACTTGAATTGCCCTTTTTGGTGGGCGCTGTTCAAGGGACGTTCTGGACATTTTTTGTGAGATTTCAATTGAGTTTGATCGTCACAAATGTGTGTGATTATGCAGAAGAGCTTCTAGCATCATATGTTCTCTTTAAATACTGAATTTCAGCAAAGATTACGTTTTCTGGAACACACTTCTCACTGGGACAGACGTTAATTCTGGCGCCTTGGTTCCTCCGGCCTTATTGTCAACGCAAATATTTGTTTATTTATTTGTTGACGTAAGACGTAAGGTAACCCACCCATACCAGCCCTCCACGTAACATCATCCAACTCCCCCTCATGATAGACCCACAGCGAGAGAGAAAAACGAAAGCAGGGGGAGACACGGAGGCTCAGCATGAGGGCTCTACCGAGTTTCTTTTTATGAGGAGTGCGCTTTCTACTGCCTGCCATCCATTTCTTTTCTCGTTGGGCTGCTCCAACATATTTTGCATGTTTGCATACAAAATATCATATTTGCTGAGATTGTTTCATTAAAAAAAAACCAAGAAAAATAAACCAGGTGTCGGCGCTGTGTGAAACATATTTCATCTGCTCTGCCTGCCTAGTTCTAGTTCGCAGTCCGTAATACGTGTTTAGCTTTAGCACCTCCCATCTCCGCAAGATACTCGTCCTACCTGCCACATGCGTGAACCATAAAATGGTTATATTACCAAAAATAGCAAGCAGTAAGTGCTGCTATACCTGGGGAAATTGGTTTTCCCACGCACCAGAAAAAAAATGTATAGATGATATTTGTAGTCGAAACTGTTTCCTCCTTATTTGTGTATGCTGAACAGGTGGACTTCGCTGGTAAGCTCGTAAAAGTTTACCCCTGAAATCCTGTTGCGGCTCAATGCATTGGAAAGGCATAAAGCCTACAAGTTTTGGCAAGCGTTTTGGCCATAAAAAGTGACAGGAAATATTGGAATCCCATGCTTAAATGGTGTTAGACTTTTGCATAAAATTATTTGTTATAAAAAGTAAGACTAGATATTTTTGTTGGTATTTTAAGTTTACTAAATAATATTTTCTTTCTTTTCAAATTACTAATTGACACGTCCGACGCCTGTTTATAAATATGTTAAATGTATCTCTACTTCCGCATTTCGCATCTTGCTTTCACTTGAGATGTCAACAGCCAGTCACCTGGCCTGGCCACCTTTGAAGAGGACCAGGCACCACATACATAGGCACAACCCCAAAAGTTACTCAATTTTTTCGTTGACAGTAAGGCACATAAAAATACAAATAGATGACACCAAGAGACAAGAGCCGAGACACCCAGAACACAAAGAACAACAGAGACAAGAAGGGCAAACCCAAAAGAAGTTCTTATAAATGAGAGGAAGAAAGAAATAACCTTATGTTTGAGGGTTTGAGGCATTCATACAGAACCTTATCCTTGGGACAACGATTTGTCCGGCTGTACCTTTCCTTTCCTTTCTAAGGGGGTTCTGGGGGCTGTTTCCTTTATCGAAGATTAAGTGCGATGACATCGTTATACCCCGTAGTCATAGTCATAGTCATGGCCATAGTCCCTATGTTCGTTAGTTATATTGTGCTGAAATGTGCTTACAGCACATTAATTTCTTGCACCTGACATTAAGATAATTGTTGCCTTTTGTTTGGAAAAGACGACGACTACACGACGACACGGCTCTGGCCATGGGTAGATAATCAACTCGCAATTTGCCAATGTGTTTCGGTAGCGCCTCCTGTTTGATAACATCCTTCGCATAGTGTAATGCGTTTGGTAGGCCCTGTTAACAGCTTGACTTTGTGTGAATATATGACAGGGAAATCGTATCTCTAAGAGGATTAAATTATCGTGGAAACAATTAGGAACTATAGCAACTGTGGGACAAATATTAAGCTATTCAATTAATTTCTTCGGTCTTTTCAGTTGGAAATCCTTATTTTAGGTCCGTATACTAATAACATTTCTCATTTTTGTAATCAAAAGCATCCGAAAATGTCAAATTTTTTGTACGGTTTAATCAAAAAATCATCATCAAGGCTGATGACATTGTAAATTTAATCAAACAAAAATCAACTTTTAATGGGGATTTGCTCTCACTCTTTGAACTTTGAAGTCCACACGCATCACACACACACATC